ATTATTAATGAAAATAAAAATAAATTATAATACTCCTCGTATATATAATATTAATAATAATGTTTTATTCATTTGAAATACTCTCAATTTTTCCAACAATCCCCCACATATTTCAAATGAATAATTTTAGATTTTGAAAAATAGTTTAGAAAATTTCTGCTGGATTAAAGGAATGAGACTTTAAATTTGGTGTCCGTAGACTTGAACCAAACCGAGACAATTAAGTCTTAATAAACCGAGCTTGTGGTGAAACGTATAGTTTATTGAACCAACAAGCTACTATTGGTAAATCAGGGTCTTAACGGTCGTGTCTCACCCCGCACAATTTCTCGTTATTACGCCGTTGTGCGCCGTAAGGCCATGCGCGTGCTTGGTTTTCATGAGTGCTCTAGAAGTTTTGTCATGCTTCATGGAGGCGGCCCCACCTCACACTCATATAGGTGATATCATCAAGTGTGTACCGCTTTTGCACACCACCCTAAAATTAAGGGCTATGATAATCATCAAGAGTTTTTAGCTCATCCTCTCAAAGTATGCGGTTTCTAGCCTATATCTCACATCATGGAAATGGGCAATTTTAGTTAGGCTAGCAGAACTAAATGGAAGACTTGTTATTACCCATTTGAACTTGCTTCATGGGATCTCCAATCACACAAGTTGGGTTCCCATCCCCATTCGTTTCAAAGTGACACTAGTCCCATTTCCTTCGATGTTTCGGTTATCATTTTTCGTCCTAGGGATTCTGTCAAAGGAGTAGCTAATTCCTTCACAAAATTAATGGAAATAATTCCATTCTCAAACATCATTGCACCACTTTTAAGGGTGAATGGATATCCACTATTTCAATTTATCTCATGTGAGTATACTCAAATGTCATCGTTGTATCCCGGCCGGTAATACAACGGATAATTCTCAATAAGAAATAACATCGATGTGGCCCCTTAATACATCGGATAATTCTCAATAAAATATATATCATCATTGTACCATTATAGTACAATGGGTAATTCTCATATAACATCATTGTACAACTCTACAATGGTTATTTCTCTATAAAAGGTATCATCGTTGTATTAATATATTACAACGGATAGTCTCAATCAAATATACCATTATTAATGGTACCTCTCAAATACCTCAATAACCGCCTCAACGCAGTCCAATGATCCCCACTTGGGTTATTAGTATATTGGCTCAATCTTTCGACAATAGAAGCTATGTCAGGCCTTGAATAATTCATCAAGTGTAATAAACATCCAATAATTTGGGAAACTCATATTGAGCCTTAGAATTGCCTCTACGCTTTTTCAAGTGTATATGAGAGTCATAAGGGGTACTCACATGGGTGACAATGAAATGCCCAAACCTCTTTAGAAGTTTTCCAACATAATGTTTTTGAGATAGTATAATACCATCATCCTTCCTTATGACTTTCATACATACTCAAAATCACTTTTGATACCCCAAGTTTTTCAACAAAAAATTAACATATGACCCATATACAAGTAAACAATAATGCACACACCATTTCATATTCAGTGTATACTCACTTTGTGTTCCTGACTAGTAACCACATGACCTCCGATTGCACCATATAAATTTCTTCCTCCATTTAAAAACACAATTTTAACACCCACTTGATGAAAAAAATGTGAATAGAGTCAATTTTAGTTTATATGGCCCCAAGAAGTAATGTGTTTTTTTTTTAAGAAATAGTTTCTAATTAAGTCAAAAATTTGATCATTAATAAGATATATATATAAATCATTTCCAAAAGATTTATTTATCTTTGGCTTCTTACTTCTTCTCAAAGAGAATATTCATCATTAAAAGAATAATTTCATTTTAATGGATCACTATCACTAGAGGGTTCATCATTAAAGGTTTCATTTCCTTGTAATGGATTATACTCACTATATGGTGCAACGGTCTTGTGTTCAAATTTCAAAGGAAACATTTTTTTTTTAAAATATAGCATTATTGTTTCAACAATGTATAAATAGATAATCATACATGCATCATTTAGTGTGTACACATTCTCCAAAAAACGATCATATTAATGTCAGCAAAGTATAGCTTAATGTCTTGCACACTAGCACACTATTTCTTCAATTTATGAAAATAACATATGTGCTCCACTGTTTCAATTTATGCAAAGGTAGCCAACAATTATAAAGCTCATTTTCACTCAATGAGATAAGTAATGAAATTTTAGCTAAGCACCCCCACAATTTTAAATATTTAAAAGACAGGTGCATAGCCCTTCTAAAAATCATAGAGAGATAATTTATATCTCAACCTTTATTTGTACACAATGATTTAAGAAACTCGCCTTTTAAATTTAAATGAGATAAAATGTAGTTTATCTCGAAAATCACCAATAAATGTGACACAGAACTTTTAGCACCTCTAATCACAATGTAAATGCTCTAATAAAATTTATATAAATTCCTCAAATATATCACAATTTTCTAGAGGTGTTGGCTGCCATATCACTAAGTATCAATCTTAGGATATTTAGCTGTTTCATATATCAAACAAAATAAGGATCAACATAAAATAGCATGTAAAACATCAAATCTATCATATCACATAACACAATAATTGACCAATCGAAATTACTCAGAAGCACTATCATGCAAATCTTCAAAATTACTAATCACAAAAAGTCCATTTTTACAATAGTCATTTCCCACAAGAACATCATTTTTGGTCATAACAACTTCGTTACAACCAAAAGTAACTTTAACCCCAACTTTTCCCAAAAGAGAAACAGAAACTAAATTAGTTCGGATCTCGAGCATTTGAACATGTCACTTAGTGATAAAGTTTTTCCCAATGTGAGATTAAGAAGAACTTTCCTTTTTTCACGCACCTTAACGGTTTTTAGTCCACTAGGTACACGAGCTCTTCGTCATCTCCTATAATATTATAGGAGGTAAAAGCATTTTTGTTTTTACAAATATGCTTGGTAGCCTCGGAGTCTACCACTAACTCATTCACATCATTAGTATTACAACTCTGAGAAACAACCACAATAAAATTATCATCACTACAAACCAAGTTTGAACTTGATTTTGGTGGGTTGTTGTTTTTCATAGTTGTCATTTTATCACTAAATAAACGAATAACATTTTTCTTAAAAAGTGGAGTACTAACCATTATACGTAGAAGACTTTTGTGAGCATTTATCCGATAAATACGGTCCCCCATGCGGGTGTATCACAACCTCCTTAGCAGCACACATGTAGAGATAACATAACCCCGAATCCCCGATGAGTGCGGCAGCAACGCCTTGTGAGATTATATGTGCAGGCATATCCGACACAAAATACTTTCTTGAGATTGATGGATGAATCGGCCGGATAAACCTGCAAAAAATTGTTAGGAAATAATATAGCTCGAGACGCGTTAGACGATGTCCTCAAGAAAGTATTTCCAACTAGCGAAAACTTTTCCCCAAGATTTAACGAGCTCTTCGGCTTACGCCGGTAACAGAACAACGAGAGTATAAAATATTAATCCAGCAGAATTTGGTTAAGCCAAAATTTTGTGAGTAAAACTTTGTTATGTATGAACATGTTCGAGTATAAATCACAGGGAGCTTCATCTCATCTTCTTCGTACTATCCATGTAGTATATATATATTCCCAACTCCTTTAAACTAAAACAGCCGTTCAAAATTGGCAGCATTAATATAGTAATAAATAGAATTAATATAATAACATTAATAAAAGGATTATATTCTTAACCATTGGACATTAGAAGAGTCGTTATAGTTGCCAGGAGGAATAATAATACGCTTTATAATAATAATGAAAGCAATAACTCGTACCAGCTGTTTTATATAGAAACTGAAATGATTTTGTTCATTAACCATATTAATTAATAGTCAACAAACTATCCAAAGTTTTGTAACATACATATATAGATCGAGTAGCAATTTAATAATGCTAATAGTGTTTAACCATGCAGCCAACGTAGCTTTAGAAGAGATAGACATGAAAATGCTATTATATATTAATGATATAAAAAGTTACATGAACAATATTATTAATGAAAATAAAAATAAATTATAATACTCCTCGTATATATAATATTAATAATAATGTTTTATTCATTTGAAATACTCTCAATTTTTCCAACACTCACGGCTATTGGAGCTTGTTGCAATCAAAGAAGCCATCAAATCCATGTGCATGCGGTCAGAATAGGTTTCTTCATCTTCATCTTCATTAATGGAATTGTAAAATGCGGGAAAAGGACTCATGATTTTTTTGACCTTGTTGTAGAATACTTGGAAATGTGAGAAGTAAAGATGAGGTGTGTGACTCTAATGTCAAGTGAGACCGTGTATTTATAGTAATATAGTTATATGATGTTCACACCAAGTGGAAGATATATCCAATTTATTATATTTCGGATACACTAAATGAAGAATAACATCCAATGTGCTATGAAAGGACACTCATAGAGGAGAAGAGAATTCAATGTGATATGAATACATCAAGTTGAGAAGGGAATCCAATGTGCTATGGATAGACACACAAGTTGAACCCACTTCATAAAAAAACGTAAAAAAAAAAGTAATGAAATCTATTTATTTATTACATTGAAGTGTGTATCTTTTACTTCGTAATTGATATGTGAAACCTATGCAGAACGTATTTTATTGACGGTACTGAAATGCAGAAAAGTATGAGTCAAAACACTGTTTGCATATGAGCGGGATACATTTTTGACATTTTAGCCTCCACACCACTCCAAATGGTCTTACCATTTTAAAAAAATGCACCCCTGAGCCCCGACCCTTACCCCAATAGTGGGCGGGGTAGTTTGGTGTCAGGAGAGGTTCCACAACCGACCAACACTGGTTAGTTTTTTGCCCACAATCCTGACTAGAATGGAAATGGTGATTCTCTACTGCCAATGAGCCCGACTTCCTTGAGCACTATATGGCATTTTGTTTAACACTGGTTTACCTAGCATCCGGCATCTATTTCAATTACTACTATTTAAAACAAAAAATGATAGAGAATACAAGCCAGTTGCTAGAAGTAAGTAATAAATAAATCACTTCCTTTCAGTTAAAATAGATGAGGAAAGGTTAAACAATATACAGGTAGAGAACATAAGTAGGTCTGTCCATTAGACATACATATAGAAAGGGTTACTACTGCATAGCACAGGAAATCCTTTCAGTTTGTCTTTTATCATACATGTTTTTATTCATCCATATATAATTGGGACCAAATATATCTTTCAGAACCCAGAGTAGGGCGGTTTCTCCAAATCCTCAAGGGGGCGGAAGAAGGCTTTCAGCTCTAAGACAGACTGATCGGCGCCTGGGTGGATATCACCACCAGCAGCAGCAACACGATTATTGTGATCAGTGGATGGCCCGAAAACTCCAGTCTCAGGATGAGGAGCCCACCAGTAGTTGCTACATTCGGGGGTTCTGATTACTTCATCCGGGACAGTTGTAGGATGTTGAACATGTTCTTCCATATTCTTGTCATACATAGATACATGCACAGCTCTTCTTCACATGCAAAATTGCCAACTACTTAAGTTTCAACAGTTAAGGTAAATGGGCATGTTTTTGACATGCTACAAAAATACTCTGTAACATAACTTTTCATTGTCCCACATATTCATGCCACAGAAATGTAGCATAAAAATGATACCACTACTAATTAAGAGTGAACCAGGACATGCAAGTCTTTTCCCCGAAATGGCATTCGTTCAGCCAAAAACTGGTCAATCTCGGTTCAAGTTGTAGGACTATACTGGATCGCTAGGTTTCGTTTTTAAAACAAGCCAGAAGGCAGGACTTGACGGGGGCCAGAGCGAACCCCCCCCCACCCCCAATCATGTCAGTCTAGTGTCAACCTTACACGGAACTGGGCAATCAAAAAACGGATAGGGTCCACCCTTACAACATTAGGATAAATGTTATACTCTCTCTAACCCATTTTGAAAGTCATTCTTTTGGTTTGTTCCACAATTATGTATGTATTCCTTGTTTTAAAACTTTTTTTTCTATTTCGTCTGACATAACCTTTTCTGGTTTGAAAATTTGAAAGGTATGAAGTATGAACCCTCATCTTCCCTGGGTTTGGCCCGCGGTGGGTACGCTGCTTCTTTATAGATCTACCCAAAGGGAATACTTTAATGTTAGAAAAAAAATCAAAAATGGTGACATTTATACAAATATATATTTGGATACTCTTTTTAGGGATTCCGTATGAACTGAATTATGATATCCAACTTCCCACCTGTAAAGTAAAGTTAAGGAACTACATTTGTCAGTTTGCCCATTCAGTCGAGTCTTCATTAAGGGTATACAAGAAATAATAAAATAGATGATTGTATACTCCGGAACATTTTAATAATCAATTTCAAGTGGGGCTTAAATAGGATCAAAATAGTGTTAATTTAATTTTCCCAAAATTTGACCTAATTCCATAAATATGATTATTTATTTGTGATTAGACAAAAATGCTCTCATAACTTCATAAGCCCCGCAATCGTAGTGGCCGAAATTTAGAACTAAGGTTCAATTCAACACACTTTTTGCCTGAGTTCCAAAGATCCAACCCAAGAAACGTATTGCGCAAAAATTGTCCCCTAGTTATCACTAATTTTATTAAATAAACACTGCAAGACTCACTAAATAAACACTGCAAAAAATTAACATTTGTTATGCCTGTGAATCCTCCGTACTTGTTTATTTTTATTTATGGAGTATTTTATTTTATTACAATAGATTCATGCTTTCCCACCCTCCATAATCCTGTAAAGTGTAAACAGCAATTTCACTACTTAGCTCATTTCAAACCATTTAGATGGTGCCATCCAAAGTATGAGCTGAGTAATATACATACACACACATATTATATACATGCAATTTTCTTTACAAGCATACCTAGCAGGAAAGAAGGCTGCGTAAGGGGTGATTGTGCCACCGCCGCAGCTCTGAAGACTCTTATACAGGCTGGCAATTCCACGGCGCTGCAAGTTGGCGGCCATTCTATATAGATATCTAGTGAATATATATAATCATATATAGATTGACTGATAGAGGGAGAGAGATGTTCAGAGAGAGGATTGCAAATAAAGTGTCATTTTATACGGAGTAGTTAGTTTGGGGCATGGTGAGAGGATGGCGTGGGCCCCAGCGTGGTTTTATATTTTAATCCTTGGTATATATTTTAATTATATGGTTTTATCTGTTGCCTGCGCAATCCCGTCAGCACTTACTCAGCAGTCCGTCAATTTGTTGCAGTTGCTGACTAAACATATTAATCTCTGCAATTTGTGTACCTTTTTTTTATTATTGATTATTGAATTTGATTTTAAGGAACTTGTTGATATAAATAATGTGAGTCTTGGTTTTGAAGTTTTTAGTTGCCCAAATCCTTGAAACATGCATTGACAGGCGCCCAATCCCAGATATTGTGTAGGATGAACAGGCATTTCATAGTGCAAAACTCTTCAAATTCTTCATTGATTAGCGCCTAGGCCCAGAAATTGTGTAAGAAACTGACATTTCATATTGATAGGCGAGCAGGCCTACGAATAGCAAAATCTAGGGATTACCACACTTCAAAACATTTTGAAATGCCTCCCCGTAGTGAAAATAATAAAACATTGCAATTATTAGAATTTATGATAAGTAAAGTGTTGTTTGTTTCACATCTTCTGCTTCATCTTCTTCTTTAACTTTGAGATGTGCTTTTGAAACTATTGCCAACAGCCAAGCTGTTCTCAGAGACCTGCTGCAGGGCGGGTCTGACCGTGAAAGCGTTTTTCCCGCCTTTCCCCCACTTCTTATGCTTACCGTTTCTGGCATGGGAGGAGGCAATGGCAGCTTCTTCTTCTTTCACTTCCTCTGCCTTGGGGTTATCATGAAAAGGATCAAACTGTTTCAACATCTTACGCAGCTTTCTCATGCTTAAATCTTTAATGGGTTGCTCATTCTTTGTGGGCTTCTCCTTCTCTGTAGTAAGAGCTTCTGCATTTATATTCATGTCCTCCCCACTAGTTGTCTCAATCTTGTTCTCTTTATTGTCCGAAACTGGAGGCAGAATGTTTTCAGCATTCTCATCATATTCTGCTTCTTGTGGATCAAACTTAGCCCCACCATATATGCTCTCCCCCTTTCCCTCCTCCTGATGCAGGCCACCAGATGGATACCCTAACATTTTACTTGTCGCCAACTGCTGTTTGTTGGATGGCAGCTTAACCATTTCATCATCATCTTCACCTGAGGTTACATCATTGCTGCTGGTATTCTCCTCCTCAGTCTCATTCTTACCACCATCATCAAATTGCTCCACCATTTCATCATCATCATCATCTTCACCTGAGGTTTTATCATTGCTGCTGGTATTCTCTTCCTCAGTCTCATTCTTACCACCATCAAATTGCTCCAACATTTCATCACCACAGCCGTCCTCCCCCTCGTCTCCTTCTCTTTTGCTATAGTCACAGTAGATTTCATTAATGTTAGGCTGCTGCTCATCATCAGCAATTTCTTGCAATTCCATTTCGTGTTTTGATGATTCCTTCCCAGCAGCAGATTCGTCTGCATTTCGTGAGAATATTCATATTCATATATCAAGAAAATTAACAAAATTGATATAAATAAAATGAACCCCACTGACCATATTCATTTTCACTAAGCCCATTGGTGATACCTAATTCTTCAGAGACTTGCGAGCCTTGGTGCGTATCAACAACATTCACTTCCTTGCTGACCAAATTTTGACCCTCTTTCTCACTCAAGCAGGCAGAATTTGTTAAATCTTCGTCACCTGATGACAACAGTAAGAGGTCTTAAAGCCATGAAAAGAAACAAAGCAACAATTAAACAATAAAAATTATATAGCAAACGCCCTTTTTCTTTAGTTAGGACATCATACCATGAACCTCCGAAGTGCGGAGTGCATCAACAGTTTTTACTATGCATTCAGGCATTTCAACAGTATTTGCTGATACTTCATGCTTATCATCTTCATCGTCCAACTTTTTGGATGTAGTCAAATAATCACCAACAACCTCCTGAAAACCATCACCTTCCATTTCAGCGTCATTTGATTCCTTTTCAGCAGAAAAATCAATTGTATCTGCATTTCCATTCCAACACAAAATATCAAGAAGTTGCATGCACATATAAAGGACAGAACTTAAGAAGAATAGAATACTCAAATGCAAAAAAAAAGTGCACACACTGACCGTTTATATCACCCAGAACATTAGTAATAATCTTGTTAGCAAATTCTTCAGAAGTCCGGTGCATATCAGCACTCACTTCCTTGATGACCAATCCTTGATTCTCATTTTCAGTCAAGGCACTTGTTGAGTCTACAGTTTGATCACAATCAGAATACTAGACTTAGTAAAAAATGAAAAATACCAAATGCATATTTGTTGAATTCTAGACATTATATTACCAAGAATCTCCACCCTACCATATAGAGCAACAGCATTTTCTGCCACATATTCAGATACTTCTCCAGTATATGGCACTTCAGACTCGTCCAACTTTTCAGGTACAGTCTTGGTACCATCACCAACAACCTCCTGGCATCTAAGCTGAAGATCAGCATCGCCACCTTCTTGCAAGTCCATTCTAACATCATTTGATTCCTTGATGTCAGAAGATAAATCTTCAGTTGCTGCATTTAACACAAAAGTTAGAAAGAACTTGCAAATAAAACTCCAAATGTGTGGAAACAAAACGTTTAAATTAAAATCTAGAAACTGACCATCAATAGATTCGCCCAGCCCATTAGCAGTCTTCTCGGTGGCAAACTCTTCTGAGCTTTGGTGCATGTCAACAATATTCAATTGCTTGTTAGCCAAACACTGGCTCTCAATTCCACTCGAGGAGCCACTTGTTGAATCTGCAGCATAATAAGATCTCAAAGATGAAGTTTGACATGATGTGGTAATAAAAGTAAAATTACTAATAATAGGAATAAATTTATGTTAACAATAACAGTAGTTATAACAATCTGTTTCCTTTAACCTAGTTAAAAAAAAACATACCAGCTTGTTCTAGCTCTTCATCCAATTGAAGAGCGCGGAGTTTGGAGTTGATATCTATAACCTCATCATTTTCAACGGTAAAGGAACCACAGTATGAAACATTCTCTGATGCTTCCTGTGTGCTCGAACCACATTGTTTAGCAGCTAACCTCGCTGACCTGCGAGTGCTATATACTGGGAGGCGGACTGAACTCCTCTCCTTCACTACCTCTCTCCTTCGGCTTGTCAGCAAAGTTCCTGGTGTCTTTGGAACATCATTCTTCTCATTCAAAGTCTTCCCTCCATCTTCCACACTGTCTAGACATTCCTTCAGCAAGCTTTCCATCTTTGGACGAACTGAAGTTGCCGCTGCCCTTCTTCTGCTAGCTGGTGCTGATGGAGTCTCACACACCTCATTCTTTGCTTCATCTGAACAATCAGGCGGCATTCTTCTTGTTGATCGGCTGGTCCTAGTCATGGTCTGGGAAACTTCAGATTCCTTCTTAGCAGTATTCCTAATAGCAGTTCTTCTACCAGTGCGAGGGGCACTTGACATTACAGCTGGCTCCTCAGGCAATTCAACTGCAGAACTTGCAGTCTCTGATTCCATTGGCCTCATGACCTCTTCAATACCATCGACCTGGGTGATATGAACAAGTAAGTTACTTCCCCTCTGAATTCAGAATCAATATCATGGGTGCAAATAAACCTTAGTCGGGATTCGGGAACTTGAGGTATTAAATAATTAAAGTGTATATATGCATAGCTTCTGCCATCAGAAGTTCGAATCTATAATCACTTGAATATTCAGGAAGCATCTAAATTATTTTTACACAGAGCTCCATTCAGAAACTCAAATCTAACATTAATTACTTCAATTACGTCTTAAGACTGCCGGCCAGGTTCTCACACTGTTCAACTAGAAACCTCCTGATAAACACACACACAACTTTAATTCTTAAAAAACATCGGATCGTTTTAATAGAAAAAGTTAGGAGCTAAAATTTTATTTATTCTTCGATTGGAAGCTCAGACACATACGAAGACGTCTAAAATGAATCGAAAAACGATTACATATAAACTCAAAACCATCAAAAATATAAAAAATGCAGATTCCGTCAAATTCAGGCTGATCAGATTCGTCAGAACAAACTTACAAACTCAAGAGCTGTGAGAGCGTCCGCCATAGCAACATTGGAGAGGTTAGCCGGAATCTTGTTCTTCTTGCACAGAGCTTGTAGCTGTCTCCGGTTGAGTGTACGGAAATCCATGGAAGGCAAATGAGATCGAAGTGATCTGCTGGCTGCTCTTAGGGTTTAGGCACTGTTCTATTAGGGATGGGCAAGCTGCTTTGGAGGGGATAAGAGTAAGGATGGAGGAATATATAGCGCTAGCCTTGGTCGCAGCTCTAGGCGAAGCCTGATCGTCAATATAACCGTTGGATGGAAAATTCAAATTTTGAATATAATTTACCAAATCGGGTTACACCATTCAAGCGTACGGACGGACCTAAAAATTGTGTTTCTAGCCCATTCCTCATTGGTCCAAAACTCCAAAACATGAATATGGTTCACTACACAATATGATCCAAATCTAACAATAGTATTGCAGCCTACAAAGTACAAACTGAAAGCAAATTTCTATTCTACTCCCAAAAATTTTTAGGAGACTCTCTTATGGAGTCAGATAGGTTATTGCGGCACATCGCCACCACACATTATTTTAGTGGAGGTCAATAGGTTATTGTGGCATCATCTCCACCATACATTATTTTAGTGGAACCCTCTACTAAAATAATGTGTGGTGAGGATGGTGGCACAATAGCTTATGTGACTCTCTTCGGCGGTTGGTATATATACAAGAACAATTCATATCTATTATAGGTATTCTTGAGGTTTATCTATGAATATCCAAAAATCTTATGCAGTCCTTTGGTTTTCCTAGATGTTCTCTTTCTATGAGTTAATTTAGTGAGTGTTTAAAACTAGAAAGAAGTAAGAACACAGAATCTAGAACGATTGCAGCACTATGTCGAGCGAGATTTCTGATCTCTTGAATCAAGCTGGATATTACACACAAGTTTGATAGAAGTCTAATGTTTAAGAATACATTAAATCCTAAACTCATCTATATATGGTGCATTAAATGCGGCTTCCGCCAATTTGCAGGATTTCCGCCAACTTCTTGGAGGAGTTCTGTCTTGGATGACTGTTGAATCAAGTAGAGAATTCAAGTGAGGGAAGTGAGCCGAATGGCACACATGAGCTTTTTTTGGGCTTCGTACAGGGCCTTACATGTGGATTAGGCCTTTTGAGATATTTGGGGCTGGGACTAATATTTCAACATGTATCTTTCTATCATTTAATGGTAAATGTATCATAAGAGCATCTTCAATGCTAAAATGTTAACGGTGCATACGTGGAATGGGAGAGATAACCAATTAAAAATAATAAATAGAATATTTTTCTCCTTATTTGAAGGATTTTGGTAAGTTTTTCTTCACAACGTCAAGAACAATGTCTAGATGTAGACATTGTGGTTGACATTGCAGGAAAAAACTTACCAAAAACACATAAGACCGTGGAAAGAAGGAGAGAGAAATATCATAAAATCAATCTTTTGTGTGTATCTCTCTCGTGCCACATGTGCACCGTGCACATTGTAGTATTAGAAATGCTCTAATATTCACCTATTGAAAATGTGAAGAGTAGGGAAATACTTCAATGAATTAAACCAAACGAACAAATGTTGAATTAAATGAGGATATCTAATGTGCTTTTATATGGATAATTATAATTACATTTGTTGTCACCAAATTGTTATTTACAATCATCAATTTCATAATAATAAATATTGTCAAAAAAACTCACTATAATAATTGAAATTATTTAAAAAAAATTGCACTTCCAATAATAAAGTATATCATTTAAATATACTCAACTCGGGGAACAAGCCCTAGTTGAATAGTACGGTATACACAATGTACCCTTTAAGCGAAAACCAACCCCTAATACACCCTTTTGATAAAATTTAATATGTAAGGACGTTTGTGAGGACTACTCAAACTCCTTATAGTATAGAGCTCAAGTGATGTGGTTCTTTCATTCAACGAATATTCAACTAAATCTAGGATTTGATATTGTGTTTATTCCAATAACTTAGTCTCTATCTCTCAGTCTTTCTAGATTGGCCAATGACTTTATGATCTATCTAGATATGAAAAGTATAATATTTTCTCTTAATCTATTACGAAAAATGAATCATTTCTTGGCTCAACTACTACTTTGTGTGCTTCGTGATATGTTGTGTCTATCCTGATTAGAGTGCAAGTGTTGGTCATGGTCAAAGTACATCACTCCGCACATGTTGTACGTATTGACCTCAAGTCCGATGACTATTACACTACTCTATACGCCAATAATCTCATAGACACATTAATAGAACTTTTCAAGTGGTTTCTTGGTAGGTATGACAATATTTTATAAAATATCTACGTGACCATCATTAATTACAGGAACTCATAGTTGTTAGATCAACTATACTTTCTAAAAGTAGGATGCAGTCCCATATCAATCTTATCGCATATCTTTAATATCCCTTTCTTAATGATAATTGATTGGGGCTATTTTAGGACTTTATGTTATATTACATAAGTTCTCACTTAGTTAGTGAGAACATAAGTCCAATGGAGCACAATTATAAATAAAGACATTGACCATCGAAATACTTATTCATAAATGTGTAATACCGTATATATCAAATATATAAAACTGAATGTGATCAAGTACATATATCTCTAAAAAGTGATTGTCGTTGGCACATACTACCTCCATCCCACTAAGATTGGGACAAGAGATGGTGTCTCGATTATTAAGAAAAGTGGATTTGTGTGGTTGATATAAAATTGATAAAGTAAAAATAAAGTAAGAATGTTTAGAGCACACAAACTTTACCAAATTTGGTATGAGACAATCTTAGTGGAACTTTCCGCAAAGGTAAAATGTGACAATCATAGCGGGATGCAGGGAGTATATATTAACAAAGGTATTAAGAAGTGAAGTCAAATATACTTAGCATTATAGTGATTGAATACATCAACCCATTCAAAAACATCCATAACTTAGGGTCTGTTTGCAATAGTTTCTGCTTTTAAAAAAGTGCCTTTTTAATGAAATGAGGAGAAGTGATTAAATAAAAGTTGATAGTGTTTGAGAAAAAAGTGATTTTGAAAAATAAATGTGAGTAGTGTTTGGTAAAATAAGTGCTTTTTGTGTAATAGAAAAAGTAAAAGCACTTTTGTCGCGGAAGCCGAGAAAAATAAAAGTTGTAGTGTTTGGGAAAATAAATGTTTTTTTAAAGCCAAAAGCTGAGAAGTACTTTTTTAAAAGTAGTTGCAAACCAACCCTTACCAAATGGCACCAATTCAAAATTGACGTAAAGGTATATGTTTGGTGTGGTCTGATTTGAACTAGTCTGATGTGATCTTTCTATGTATTTTATATCTGTTTAAGTGTGGTCTAATATGGTCTGACTTGATCTGGTGATACACTTTTGATATATACATAGTTACATACATACACATCAACCATTAACGTATTGAAAGAATTCCCTATATATGAGTAAAAACGTTTTGAAATTCCAAAATAGGACTATCATGTTTTTTATTCTATGAATATGAGTAAATTTCTGTCAAGTTTGACGTTACTGGACTTTAAACATGACATTTCTTCCCAAACTTGGCAGATTATTCATATTGAAGAAATTAAAAACATGATAATCCTATTTTGGAATTTCAAAATGTTTTTACTGCTATAACATCAAAAACTTTTCCAAACAAATGATTGGATGCTGTGAGATGTAAAAAGGTGAAATCAATGCATTATTTACCTTTTCAAATTTTATGAAGTAAATGAAAATGAAGAAAAAATGAAGAGAGATGTTCCTTCATCGCTCTCCAAGAAATTAAATCGGAGTGAAAAAATAAGAAAAAAGAGTTGAAACTTATAACCCGCAGATGTAAAATCCCCAAATTCCGATTTCAAGCCCTAACCCTAGCCCCACCCCAATTTCTTGGTCCAGATCTTCTAAACCAACGCCATTTTTAGAATCTTGTTCTCGTTTCTCACTCCGGAGGCCAAGCAATCAAATCCTTTAAAGTCTCTTCCTTTAATCGTCTGTACTTTAATAAAATTTGTAAGCTTTCTTCCTTTTTTCTTCTTCTTTTTCGCTTACCCCGTGAATCATCCTCTGTCTCGAGTGATTGATATCGGATTTTTCAATATTACTCACATTGGTTCGTGGTAGGCGAGTGTATGGCAAAGAGTAGTTGAGAATTAGGGGAAAAACAAATTTAAAAAGTTAAATGACACTGTATATATAGGGATTATAGTTTCTCATGATCGTTACTTATAAAGAGGGAGGGTGTAGTGGTGGGTAGGGATGGGCAGCTCAGAAACAGAAGAAGGGATAGTTGATTGTGGTGTTGGGTGTATTGTTTGGGTCCGGAGGCGAAATGGATCATGGTGGCCAGGTAAAATTCTTGGTCCAGATGAACTTTCAACCTCCCATGTGATGACACCACGATCTGGAACTGCAGTGAAGCTTCTCGGAAGGGATGATGCAAGTGTGTAAGTCTGCTTTTACTGGAATTGTATTATTTGTGTAGATTTTTTCCATACCTTGATTTAAGAAGAAAAACTGAAGCTCCTACACTTGATGTGTATGCTTGTGGGTTGTGGGGAGCTACAGAAAGTTATTTTTTTTAAGTTTTTTCTTTCCACAGTAAAAAGATTTTTTCCCAATATGCATTAACAGAGTTCACCAGCTTACACAATTATGTGATTGATTATCCAGTGATTTAAGAAGATAAATGGATCAGAGAAGGTTGGTTACTTTGAATAAACATGAATGATAGGTGTGGATAGTGTTATGATGTTATCATGCAAATATTCATGTGCCTCCTAGATCAGTAGCACATCATGATATTTTAGTTAGGCAACAAGGTGACACTATCGACAGTATTAATATCCATAGCTTGTGACGATTTCCTCGTTGATTGGGATATCTTATTTATTAGGGGAAATCTATTTCTAAACCTTTGTAGAGTTGAGTAATGCTACCATCACATCCAGGCTCACTGCTTGGATGCCATTTAGATGTAAAATTACCACCACGTTAAAGTTGCATACCCATAGTCCATGTGGTCAACCATGATGTGAACCGTGATGTGAACTTAGCATTACTCCATGGCGTTTGTCCCAAAAGTATTTTTAAACTAAAAAGTGCTGTGGAAAAAGGACATATACTTCATTGTCATGGGCACTCAATCTCTAAAACAAAGCACGAACGAGTGG